GGGGGGGGGGGGGGACCGTTTTTCACCTTCTGCTTCTGTCTGGTCGGGGAAGGAGACGGGTCCGATATTTTATATAGGTATAGCGCATGTATAGGATGCGCTATACCTACCTGTCTTTTCAACTTCTAGTATAGCGCATCCTGCATATGCGTTATATGTAAACTTTGCCCGCCAATTTAAAATTCAAATTTAGCGCACGTAACCCATGCGCTATACCTAAACGGACAAACGTGTTGTTAAGGTATAACGCGGTGAAGAAATGCGTTATATATAAAATGATTTCTAGTTATTTTTTTCATCTATTTTTGTGCTTTGAGTTCAAAAAGACAACACTTTGGTTCCGGACTCATACTAGTATCTTTGAACATATTCTTTTTAGGAATAATAGCACTATCGGTCCCATGTTTATTGGTCCCTCTATATAGGTAATTTGTTAAATTTAAACTATTTTTAAAAGTATATTACTTCAAATATGGAGTAACACGGTAAAAAGACAGCTCGATGCACGAAGTATTCCGTCTTTACGCTGGGTTCGGGGGAGGGTCGCATCTCAAGAGTTGTGATGTAGGCAGCCTACCCTGATATACGTATTAGAGGCCATTCCAGACTCGAACCCGTGACCTATAAATCACAACAAGACAACTTTACTATTGCTCCGAGACTCTCTTCAAGCGTAATAATATAACACTAAAATAATACACGAGGAATTAAATAGTAGAACAGTTAGGATTATTAATACCACCTTTTTTTTATTAATTATGGAGCAGTACAACAAAAAGCTCTGTAGCTTCTTCTTTTTTTCCCCTTTTTTTCCTTCTTGTACAAAGAATGGTCAAAAGACTGGTAACTTTTCCATCTTTCTGCACAGTAACGAGTTTGATTTTAACGGTGTATGTGACTCTGTCCTAGGAGTAAAACATATCACGAGCTGGAAATATGGAATCAACAGGGTCAGATTTTGAAGTTTGAACACGTATATAACGGACAAATTTGTAAGGGCATTGTACAATCCCCAACGGACACATGAATGAAAGTTACGTGTATGACGATGATGTTATTCTACAAAAGAAAACAACAGTAATCCCTTAACATTTGCTTGATGAAGAACAACAATCTACAGATAGTGGGGCCTTTTCTTTCGGCATTTGTACGCAGAATTGAGAGTACCTTTTTGTACACTAGCTGACCCATTCCTCTTGTGAGTCCTCTTTATGTATTGGCATGGAAATAATTTAAATATCTTCACTCACCTTTAATCATGTATAACAATTAAGAAAAATTAATTCAAATAGCGGTCCACTTAACTGCTTTAACTAAATACAGTCGATGAATATATAATATATGTATAATCTATTTATACCGACTAGAAAAGTAAATAATAAATCCAACTGATTATTTATATCAAAGTTTTCTGGAATTACATGCACAAAAGTATTTCTTATTATATTAACGTAATTGAGTTTTATGTAAAATTTAGTGACTTTATTAATACAGCAACAACAAAAAAAACCCAGTGCATTCCACGAATGAGGTATGGAGAGGGTAGTGTGTACGCAGACCTTACCCCTACCTTTAAAAGATAGAGAGATTGTTTACGGTAGACCCTCGAAGTGCCTTCATTGATATACTCCTAATAGATAAAGATTAGGTTGTGAAAAAAAGGAGATAAAATTCAGGATATTGATTTGTAAAGTTTTGGTACAATCATTTAGTAATTAGAATTCACTAGTAAGAGTAATTCAAATACGTGTAACTATTGTTATGTATGGTCTTTTTCAATAACCATTTGCTATTCGAAATTTATTGGTCGATTAATTCAAATTTATAATAGATCCATTAAAGGGGATACATTCCTTGCAATGGGTTTTCCTTACTGGCGAAATTGAAATCTTCGGTATTCATCCCATATAAGCTACGGTGATTTTGTATAGTTTTATCAATAGTCGATTTGTACTGAAAAAGGGTGGGAAAAAGGTATGTCTCATTTGACGAATGAGATTTGTAAGTCGTATTAACGGAATGCTACTTACAAACCACTCGTCTCTTTTCGCTATAAAAACGCCCGCTCCTATTTCCTTGTCACTCTCTCTTCCATAGTCCATACCCAACGGGCACTTCCAAAATTTTGTCGTTTCTTTCATCTTTCATTTTCATTGCATACCTGTTTCTGGAAAGTTTGAAAATTAAACATAACACCCTCTGATTTTATTTCTCCTTCACTTAGTAACATGAGCGCTGTTTTGGCATTCAATATATAGGTATACTTCCCCACCTAAAAACAGCACTCTCTATTTCTCTCTCTCTGCTCTCCTAATTAACTGCTTGATTTGCTTCATTGCATTAACGACTTGTTCAGTCATCACGGGATCACTGCCTCGGTACATTAATGGCTGAAGTTGAAGTACCATGTCCAGAAACAGAGAGCTCTAGTACTAATTCCTCTTCTTCTTCTTCCTCCTCATTGTCTTCTGAGTCCATGCACAACTTGGTTTTTGACACGTCCAAGGAATTACCAGAAGAGAAGAAACGGCCTACGAAGCGAAAAAGAGAGACGATTAACAGTGAAAACAGAGTACAAAATCAAGTTTACAGAGGAGTTAGGATGAGAAGTTGGGGAAAATGGGTATCTGAAATTCGTGAACCGAGGAAGAAGTCACGTATTTGGCTCGGCACTTATCCTACAGCAGAAATGGCCGCTAGAGCACATGACGTGGCCGCGCTGAGTATTAAAGGAAATTCCGCCATTCTAAATTTCCCTAATCTCATCGACTCTCTGCCTCGTCCAGTGTCAAATTTACCCAGAGATGTTCAAGCTGCTGCTGCTAAAGCAGCTGCAATGAATCTGAACCTAACTTCTGTTTCATCTTCATCCTCATCTTCTTCGTCAACTTTAATAACATCAACGGGCTCAGAGGAATTAGGAGAAATTATAGAGCTGCCTAATATAGAGGAAAGCGAGGAGACGAAGACTGAGTTGAGGTTGAGTGACTCGGTTGAAGGGTGGTTGTACTCGCCGTGGTGGGCATCAACTGACAGTGATTTTTGTGGTTATTTTCCTACCGGGGAGAGTTCAATTCCGAGCAGCTTTGAGATTCTGAAATGGGCTTGCTAAAGCTGATACTTCAGCTTTGTGGACTGAGAAAAGTGGGTTTGCTTTGGTTTTTGTCTTTTTCTTCTGGATCATTTGAATATCTACGGAAATACTGTTTAAGTAAATATATACAATATCAGTTTAGTTGTCCATAAATCATTAATTTTGGATATTCTTATTTAAATATTTGAATACAATAAAACTCTGTTTGATAGTGCTCTCTTAAAATAAATAAAAAAGATTGCATGTTCTAAAAGATGATACTTTTCAATATTTTCTTAATAGAAAGTATTTTTAGCCGCAAAAATGTTATGACAGGTTTCAGACCACAAGTTTTAAAAGTTTTACAGTCATATAAATATTATTGCTTATTATTTAAGACCACATATCACAAAATACTTCCGTCTTTATTAAAATTTGTACCAAGTTAAACTCACTATGTTTTTTAGACGAGAGAGTAATTTTAAGTACTAGTACTTGATTAGGTTTACCCAAAAAAGTTTCTTTTTCCAAGAAAACTTTGCAAGAGCAGTAACGTAGGCATTGTGTTGTATGAAACATATGTAGTATTAATCTATGGCTCTTTCCTTTGATATCTCGAGTATAATTCTACATATATATTACCCTAGTTTTACTACGAAGAAGTGCGTAATTTGGTAGTGGTAAAGCTTAAAAAAGATAATTACCTCACCTGCTATTTGCCGCTCAACTAAGTTATATATCTAGTTGAATTTCTTAAATTGGTATAGAGTTTTTAAAGTGCAACCTCGTTGTGACTAAAAATTTGCATGTAGTGTAATTTTGGGATGTGCTGCATCATTACTCTGTTATAATTTTTTGCCTAATCAGGCCCCCATTTTCTGTTGTATGTTCTATTAAACTTCCCAACTCGAATTCAATGGTTTCAACCATTCATCTTTGACGACTACAAGAAATAAAACTAGAAAAAAATGGACGGGGCTGTAAATTCTATCAAAGACAAAAATATGCTAGGTTGTTTCTCCTTCTTGCTTAAAATAAGATAATGAGAGACACAAGTATAGTAAATCCTGGGTTTTGAGGTTAAAACAACATAGGTCAAATATCATTTTCGCAGTTCAAGTTGCCAGTCATTTTCCTGTTAGGGGCACCATAGATTAGACTCAAATGGATGACAACTTTTATTTTAATTTAGTCACATACTCACATATGGAAAACATCTTAAAATAACTTATGCTCGTTGGTTTTGTGTTAAACAAAGAATGATTTGCTGGTGATCACAATTTCAATGACTTGACGAGATAAATAAAGGTATTAAGTGGGCAATCATTATGCACCCTTGGCCTTTGCTATTTGCATCCACGTATTTGCTTCAAGCTTTTGTTTTCTTCTAAATTTCTATTTGATTGAAGTCGACATTCTTTAATTTTAGTTATTAGGATTGGTGCATTTCTCGCCCTTTTTGTCTTGTCAATACTTTAATAAATTGGATGCCAATAATGCTTCAATGTAATTAGTATCTCCCAATTTCTTCCACTTTGTAATTATGCTTTGAACGCACTTTAAATCAAATTCACATTGCTCGATCAGTAGAATAAGTATTTCTAAGTAAATAAAGATCATCGAGGTTGTTTTCATTTTAGTGAAAAGGGAAGCTTTCAATGGTCGTGCAGAAGGAAAAAAAAAAAAAAGGAAAATATATGACCCTCCATTTTGTTCCAGTTTATATAACATAATTTAACTGATAGAGTTTAAAACAGAAATTTTTTTTTTGAAATTTATGGTATTAAATATTATCATAACTTTTACATTTATAAAAGATTCTTCTTACGATAAGTAAAAGTTTAAAATTAAATAATTTTAAATATATTACTATTTTTTAACGAATTAATAAGAAAATAATGTCACATAAAAAAATAAAAGTAAGGAAGTATTTATAATCTTTACATGTTTACGGTTGTCGACTAGTTTATAAAGAAAAAGTCAACAAAATAAGGGCTACGGTAATATAGCCGTTAATGATGTGATTAGGAGAAAGAATTTATACAAAGAGACAAAATATAAGCATAGAAGAGAAAATAATATAAGCGTGTAAGGACATTCTTTTAATTAGTTCATCCATTTTTCAAAGAACCAGTCATTCTTCAAACGAATTGCAGTCTGCCAAAACTAAAAGATTGATCAAACATTTGAGGGAGATGGACGACGAAGAATTATACTAAGTCCTTTTGAAAATGACAATATCTAATTCCTCACAATTATTTATTTTATTTTATTTTGAATAATTTTAAACAAACTTGATGGCGATGCCATCAATTTAGTACTCATATTCTTGACCAATGGATTATCAAACACCCCTTTCAAACTTATGCCATAATTAATCAATCTATTCTTTTTATTTTTATTTTGTTAGGTTAAATATGTATCTATTTCTCTCTGTTAGGCCAGGTATAAATTGACAATTAAGGCTCCAACATGACACATTTCAATTAATTCCATTATCACCACCCACCATTATCAATCACTAATTTTTTACTTTTGTCGACTTGCTTCGTGTAATTAAGATTCGCACATTATGTACTACTCCCAATTATACTTTTGTATTCAATTGAGTTTTTTTTTCTATTACTCTAGTTTGATTAAGTTTCGTGACCATCTATTTTGTTTAGTCTTCTTTTTGTTCATTTTACAAGACTTTTCTTTTGGGTTCTAGAAATATTTATGTATAAGTTAATCTCTGGAATTGTATTATTTTGGTTAACCAATTTTTATCTTCATAGGAATACATTCCCCCACCCCGTCTGTTTTAGCTGACTTAGCTCGACAAATTGAAAGGAGCGAGCAGCGGTAAAGTAGTTTTCGTATGACATATAGGTCATGGTTCGAGCCGTGAAATTAACTATTAATGCTACATTAGATTAGGTTGCCTACATCAATACTCCATGGGATGTTGCCTTTTCCGGACTTTGCGTGAATACGAAATGTTTCGTGTACCGGGCAGTCATTTTTTAACTAGATAAGTTGCACAATTTATTGATCAAAATTTGATCATCTATGCGACAGCGCTTCCGGTATGGCCGAAAGAAGAGTGGCCTAACGTGATCAAAGCAAATTAAATTGATTAGTCGTCGTGTTTTAAAGAATTAAAGGGGATGATTAAGCGTGAATGATATAAAAAATATAGAGAGTTTATTCTAGTCAACACCGTTTAAGCAATTACATGGACTAATTAGGATTACTCTTTATTTTCTTTCTTTCTTTTTATTTTTTCTTTTAATTGTTCTTGTGAAGATTTGTTGATATTCATCATCACATTACTAAAAGATTTTGTGGGCTTGGCAATTGGTGCACTTCGCCTCATCTGTGAACTCCACGTTGACTTTTCTTTTTCTCCATCCTTTTTGGTTACATGATGAGCAAAAAATAAAAAGCTAAATTTATTCACGTTTAAGTCTCCCGTTGATGCATTTTAATTTCGATACCTTCTTTCTTCATGCTATCAACTCACGGGAGTTAATCTCTTCCACTTATTTTTGGGTTAGGGACTTGTAGTATCACTTTAATATAATCTCTGTATCACTTTAATTAATCTAATCTGTATTTAACATTAGCACTTTGGAGGAAACACAAACTCATATTGTTAGATGTTGCATTACCCCAATATCTCAACTTAAATTTTCTAAATGGTACTTCTCATTCGGTATTACAAAAACTTTATAGAAAAGAATATATTGAAGCCCGCAGCTTGCCACCATTTTTCAAAGTTCGAGAGTAATATCCTTCTGTTATCTGTATATATTTGTTCAGCTCCGTGTCTTTACTATCTCTAAAAAGGAGAATATATGACAAGTCTAAAGAATATGAAATATGTTAGCCAAAATGGATTGGTCGTACAAAAGTAAAGAAAGTATAGCTGGAAAGAATATAAGGTTTCTATTCTAACCTTTTGTGTTTGGTTTTGTTCAATATTTCCTGCACTTAGATTTTATGCTCAAAATATAATTTAAGAAGAAAGACTGGCCAATTTAATCACAAGATTTGCACCTTATCAGAATAGGTGATCACTAATTACGATTTGACATCACTTCTTACAGTAAGGCCGACGTCAGTCGAATCAATGAACAAATGACAGGCTACATAAATCATGACGGAGGACAAAATAGACCAAAGTACGTACGGTGTAAAACCTTTTATCCAAACCCAAAGTTCTTTGAATCCGTATTTGTAGCCATTATGCCAATAAACCAACCAATTGGTAGCTGTTACCAGCTAAGATAGAGATGGATAAGTTTTCTTGTCAACTGTTACTACTTACAAAAGAAACTACTATAAGCCATTAATTTATCACAATGTAGGTATGATTTATTGAATATTAGCTCAAACCTTTTGAGCCGAAAGCAACGGCATTGGATTAGAATTTTCTATTGGTAGCTTTTAATAGTTACTACTACTACTACTTTTTTTGTAATACTTCATAGTGTCTACTACTTGGACTGTCACTAATATTTAGCTTAAATTATATATATATTTATATGTATATCGTCTCATATTTTACTCGTGTTTCGTGGCTTTCGGATATAAAATGTATTGATTTATATTAATTCGGGGTATTTTTATGTGTAGGAATCATCCGGAAGCAGTAGAGGCAAAAGGTGTGAGATTAGAGCGAAAACGGAGGAAAAATGGGCAATGTGGAATTTCAGCGCCACAGGCGCACTCCACGCCACTTGTGGCGCCATTGGCAGAAACTTCAACAAGCCAGCGCCAGGGCCAGCGCCCCATGCTGCCCTGGACGCTGGTGGCGGAAATTTCTCCTACTTTGCCCGGGACAAGGTTATTTCAGCCCTAGACCTACCCAACGCGTATAAAAGCAAGACTAAGCTTATTTTTGGAGGGGAGACGCCACTTTGAAGAAAAAATACACACGAGAAACATTCGGGAGCGAGGAGATCTCAGTTTTCTTCATCTTTTATTAGTATTTTTAATTATCCAACTATGAATTTGTTTGATCTTATCATGAGTGGCTAAAACTCATAGTTCTGGGATTGTGATTTAGCCATGAATATTGTTATTTAACGTTGACTTAACCTTGATTACAATTCACCAATATTTAGTTGTTTCTTCAATACTATGATTAATTGCTTAATTTTCTGGCCAGCAGTTAGGTTCTATTTACTATCTATGCTATGCTTGGGAAAGCCATGTTTAGATTAGAGAAGAATTGAAGAGAGCA